TTAGTCACTCCTAGGTTCCCAGGCAGATGCGCAACGGAAAACAGCGCAACGGAAATTTCTGTGTGCGTTTTTTTTTTCTGTGTGCGCTTTTTTCTGTTTGCGCTTTGTTACGTTTGCGTTTTTTATGTTTGCGCTTTTTTCTGTGTGCGCTTTTTTCTATTTGCGCTTTGTTCCGTTTGCGTTATTTATGTTTGCGCTTTTTCTGTGTGCGCTTTTTACGGTTTGCGCTTTTTTCCGTTGCGCTTTTTGTTTTGCGCTTTTTTCCGTTGCGCATCTTTCTGGTCACCCTTTACTTCGTTACGTGATTGGTCGTTTTTTATAATCACCATGACTATAAAGTGCCGGGGATCGAACACTGCATAGATCGCCAAACAAATCACTAGACAGGTAATGAAGTAGAAACATACATTATCTTGTTCATTAATTCAGCTAATTGATGTATCATTGTACATAGTGCCTCCCCCAATGGTTATTTAACAATCCTAATAATGTAGTCATTACATATGCACTTCACAACAGTCTATGACCATCTATACATACACCCCCCACACCAGTCTATGACCATCTATACATACACCCCCCACACCAGTCCATGACCATCTATACATACACCCCCCACGCCAGTCTATGACCATCTATACATACACCCCCCACGCCAGTCTATGACCATCTATACATACACCCCCCACACCAGTCTATGACCATGTATACATACACCCCCCCACACCAGTCTATGACCATCTATACATACACCCCCCCACGCCAGTCTATGACCATCTATACATACACCCCCCACACCAGTCTATGACCATGTATACATACACCCCCCCACACCAGTCTATGACCATCTATACATACACCACCCCCCCCCCACACCAGTCTATGACCATCTATACATACACCCCCACGCCAGTCTATGACCATCTATACATACACCCCCCACACCAGTCTATGACCATCTATACATACACCACCCCCCCACAACAGTCTATGCCCATCTATACATACACCCCCACACCAGTCTATGACCATCTATACATACACCCCCACACCAGTCTATGACCATCTATACATACACCCCCACGCCAGTCTATGACCATCTATACATACACCCCCACGCCAGTCTATGACCATCTATACATACACCCCCCACACCAGTCTATGACCATCTATACATACACCCCCCCCCCCACACACCAGTCTATGACCATCTATACATACACACCACGTACCTGTCAAATTGCAAAGTTACCATGGAACTCAGGTTGCGTGTAAATTATATCCCTTGGTGCATCTGGAATCTTAATTCTTACTTGACGCATTCATCCAGTGCTAATTTATGCCAACCATGTACAATAGTGTAATAATGACGCTCTCTTTGATTCTATATGGGAGGAACAGGTAAGTAACTGGAGGCCAACAGAGAAGGTTGATATTATATTTATTAGACGACTTACACAGTATGTGCTAAACAAGAGAGAGAAAATAACAAGAAAACTGTGTACAGAATAACTTTGTACATCTAATATTTGTGTACATCAGATCTACAGAAAAAACATTTTGTACAGCTTTAGTCATTTATAAAAAATAAACTCTATTCACCGTATAGATGCAACAACATAAAAAGAAACATAAATTCAAGAGAACACAACTGCTGACTCCTTCCTATGTTAAAAAAAAAACATGCGTTGTTTCCCCTCAACTCAAGGTGGACTTTGCTAACTAGCAATGTGATGAATATCTAGCAAACAGGGGGAGGGGGCTGAATGGGGTAATCTTGCATAGGGCCCATTGCTGACTTTTTTTCTTGCATGCGGCCCACATAGGGGTTAGTACTTGGGTGGGGTCCAATAATGTTCTTGCATGGGACCCCTAGGGGAGGTTAGTAACCCCTGGGGAGGTTAGTAACTTGTCGATCAGACTGAAAGTTTATCGGGAGAGTTGCATACAGATCTTTAACTGAGGAACAAAAGAAATTTTGGTGGCGTTTTTAAACTTGTATATATATAACATTCAATTGTACCAATGTATAAGGTACTCATATGTCACGATGACGTACGAGGATACTCATACATAAACTGTTTATGGTCGAGTTAATGAGTGCAGTTATTGCTGGTTGGCAAGTTTTTTTTTTAATTTCTGACCAGTGTTTCTTCCAGATTTTTTTCTCCCGGGGGGGAGGGGGGGGGGCATTTGATATTTTCGGGGGGGGGGGGGTGGGACAACATTTTCCGAGGGGGGGAGGGGCGGACACTGGTAAAATTATATGGTTTCTGTATACATTCCATTTCGTTCGGGGGGTGGGGTGGGAACTCTTTCTGACTTAGTAACTTAGTAATGGGTTAAAAATATTTTGATTAATATTTGTAAAGATAAGGCTAGCACCAATGAAATCTGTAAACATTTATGTACTAGATCTAGACTACCCAGCTGTAGCGAGACTAGCTACACGTAGATGAACCCAACACTGGTAAATAAACGTCTGACGGCTTGGTACCAATCACCCCTTTATCAATGCTGGCGTGGATGAATACAGCAAGGAACTACTTTTGGTACGTGACGTCATCGGAAACAAAATGGCAGCAGTCAATGCCGCACAAACGTGCGTGCAGTGTGCGTAAATTGGTAACGGATCTTTGGTTTCAATTCAGAGTTTCAAATTCTACGAAACTAAATTTTAGAAAGTACTTTAAGTATATCAAAATGACAAAAACCATTTCATTAGAGCCAGTGTTCCCATTGGACACGTTTTTGATATCATCTTGTAAAAAAAAATTTCCAAAAAAAAAACACCTCATTTTACATGAAAATCGACTCTAGCTATTTGATTATTTTACAATTATCAACAAATTCACCTAATATTTTAATTATAGTTATAGGCCTACACAAGAGAACAGTCCCCGCGTCATATTGCATAATACTGCAAGGGGAATAATGCATCGAATTATATTACATCACATAATAATACATCCAATTTTAGTAACACAACAAATTATAATACATGAAACTGTAATATTACATCAAATTATAATACAAATGAAAGATCATAAATGTAGTAGAGACATTAGCTATCTAGCGTGACAAAGTGGGTTGACATACATATGTCCAACATAAGTAGACATACATATGTCCAACATAAGTAGACATACATATGTCCAACATAAGTAGACATACATATGTTCAGTAGACATATATATGTCCAACATAAGTAGACATACATATGTCCAACATAAAATGACATACAAATGCTCACCATAGACAAACGTACACGAGAAGACAATGCTACAAGCAGTCGCCAGATAAATTTCTATAACTTGCTGAAGTGTGTTAACCAAACGGCTCTATCGTTCGGTCCAAGCGATGTACAGTAACTATCACTAAACTATCACGAACTATTTATCCCCATGTGTAGAAGTGAATAGTAACTGGTAACTATCCCTTTAACCCCATGCGTCTTGGGCACGAACGAAAAACAGATAAACCATCACTTGAAGCAATCTCCCTATCTGTGGCTAAACCCACGGAGACTACATTACAAATCTTCCAAAAACTGTTACTGATCAAGTAATCAATTATCTCGTTAAATTAGAAGAAAGTTTTAACCAACAACAAGTGTGTCAGACTATTTGAAATTTTAACGAAAGTTTCGCCATACAATAGTAAAACGTAAAAAAAAATTTCATTTACAAATTGCGATAATCAGACAAGTTAAAATTCTGCTATTTAAAGTGATGAGTCTGTACACAAGCAAGGGCCGACAACTATTGCTTACGACATTCGTTCTAGGATAGTTAACTCCCATACCCCATATACCATATCCCATCCAAGCAAGGAGAAGAAGGCCTATAGATTGTGGTCGTTGCATAGAGATGTGGAGAAAGTTGTATGAATAGCGACAACATTAGTCGTATGATTAGTTACAACAAGCGTAAGAATAGTAACATCATCATTTGTAAGAATAGTAATAACATCAGTTGTATGAATAGTAATAACATCAGTTGTATGAATAGTAATAATAATAAGTTGTTTGAATAGTTACAACATTAGTTGTATTTACAGTGTGTTAAATGCCTACATCATCAGTTTAGCATTTACTAACAGCGGCACTCAGTTTAAAACCTACCTCTGTCACGACCCGTCCCTGTCTCGACCCACCCCTCAGACCTACACTCGCTTAGACTTACCCCCTAGACCTACCCATGTCTAGACCTACCCTTAGACCTACCCATGTCTAGACCTACCCTTAGACCTACCCATGTCTAGACCTACCCTTAGACCTACCCATGTCTAGACCTACCCTTAGACCTACTCATGTCTAGACCTACCCTTACACCTACCCCTTAGACCTACCCATGTCTAGACCTACCCCTTAGACTTACCCCTTAGACCTACCCATGTCTAGACCTACCCTTAGACCTACCCATGTCTAGACCTACCCTTAGACCTACCCATGTCTAGACCTACCCTTAGACCTACCCATGTCTAGACCTACCCCTTAGACCTACCCCTGTCTAGACCTACCCTTAGACCTACCCATGTCTAGACCTACCCTTAGACCTACCCATGTCTAGACCTACCCTTAGACCTACCCCTTAGACTTACCCCTTAGACCTACCCATGTCTAGACCTACCCTTAGACCTACCCCTTAGACTTACCCCTTACACCTACCCATGTCTAGACCTACCCTTAGACCTACCCCTTAGACTTACCCCTTAGACCTACCCCTGTCTAGACCTACCCTTAGACCTACCCATGTCTAGACCTACCCTTAGACCTACCCATGTCTAGACCTACCCTTAGACCTACCCTTAGACTTACCCCTTAGACCTACCCTTAGACCTAACCATGTCTAGACCTACACAAAACAAGCAAGTATGTGAGAACAAGCTCACTGTGGCGTTTTTGTACAAATGTGGTTGTCTTGTTTGGGTTATTTAGATAAGTGATATCGTTAGGATTTTGTCATGGGTGGTGTGTGTGTGTGTGTGTGTGTGGAGGGGGGTGCTTTAACCCCTAACACCCTCCTGCCAACGCCACTTATCTAGATATATCCCTATAAGATGCCTAGTTCCATCTAAGGCCTAAATACCCAGACAGTAGCTAAAACTATTGGGCCACAAGGTCTAATTTATGGGTAGGACCAACACATATGTAAACAAAATCAAATGCTTCTGGTTGGTTGGTCCGCTGGTTCTCGGCTGTTCTGTTGTTCTGATTGGTCAGTTGGTAGTGTGACGCATGCGCCTTGTGACGTCACAGATACGTCACTTGTGTTGTGACCTCAAACGTCTGGTAGAAAAAAAAATGGAAGCATTTGTGTGAGTATTCGCAGGTCAAGGTGACACAGCCTAGGATTAGGTTAGAGTTAGGTGTTGTTGGATCAAAGGTCAAGGTGACACAGCCTTAGGATTAGGTTAGAGTTAGGTGTTGTTGGATATAGGGTATCAAAGGTGAAGGTTAATGTTTAAGTTCAGATGTCGATTAACTTTAAAGCTTTTGTTTTCCAATAGCAATAAATCTAATATTGAAATATTCAGGAATAATAGGATTAACTTAATTTTTTTTGTATCTGTTGTAATTTTCGTAAACGACATTATGATTAATTGGGGTTTTCCGCTAATTGAAATAGCAATTAAAATAAAATATATAACGTATAATATGTTGACATAAACAAAGTGTGGGGACATCAAAGTGTGTGGACATCAAAGTGTGGGGGACATCATTGTGTGGGGACAACAAAGTGTGGGGGACATCAAAGTGTGGGGGACATCAAAGTGTGGGGGACATCAAAGTGTGGGGGACATCAAAGTGTGGGGACATCAAAGTGTGGGGGACATCAAAGTGTGGGGGACATCAAAGTGTGGGGGACATCAAAGTGTGGAGGATATCAAAGTGTGGGGACATCAAAGTGTGAGGACATCAAAGTGTGGGGGACATCAAAGTGTGGGGGACATCAAAGTGTGGGGACATCAAAGTGTGGGGGACATCAAAGTGTGGGGGACATCAAAGTGTGGGGGACATCATTGTGTAGGGACAACAATGTGTGGGGGACATCAAAGTGTGGGGGACATCATTGTGTAGGGACAACAATGTGTGGGGGACATCAAAGTGTGGGGGACATCAAAGTGTGGGAAAATCAAAGTGTGGGGACATCAATGTGCGGGGGACATGAAAGTGTGGGGACATCAATGTGTGGGGGACATCAAAGTGTGGGGACATCATTGTGTAGGGACAACAATGTGTGGGGGACATCATTGTGTAGGGACAACAATGTGTGGGGGACATCAAAGTGTGGGAAAATCAAAGTGTGGGGACATCAAAGTGTGGGGGACATCAAAGTGTGGGGGACATCAAAGTTTGGGGGACATCATTGTGTAGGGACAACAATGTGTGGGGGACATCAAAGTGTGGGGGACATCAAAGTGTGGGGACATTAAAGTGTGGGGACATCAAAGTGTGGGGGACATCAAAGTGTGGGGGACATCAATGTGTGAGGGACATCAAAGTGTGGGGACATCAAAGTGTGGGGACATCAAAGTGTGGGGGACATCAAAGTGTGGGGGACATCAATGTGTGAGGGACATCAAAGTGTGGGGACATCAAAGTGTGGGGGATATCAAAGTGTGGGGACATCAAAGTGTGAGGACATCAAAGTGTGGGGGACATCAAAGTGTGAGGACATCAAAGTGTGGGGGACATAAAAGTGTGGGGACATCAAAGTGTGGGGGACATCATTGTGTAGGGACAACAATGTGTGGGGGACATCAAAGTGTGGGGACATCAATGTGTGAGGGACATCAAAGTGTGGGGACATCAAACTGTGGGGGACATCAAAGTGTGGGGACATCAAAGTGTGGGGGACATGAAAGTGTGGGGGACATCATTGTGTAGGGACAACAATGTGTGGGGGACATCAAAGTGTGGGGGACATCAAAGTGTGGGGGACATCAAAGTGTGGGGGACATGAAAGTGTGGGGGACATCATTGTGTAGGGACAACAATGTGTGGGGGACATCAAAGTGTGGGGGACATCAAAGTGTGGGGGACATCATTGTGTAGGGACAACAATGTGTGGGTGACATCAAAGTGTGGGGGACATCAAAGTGTGGGGGACATCAAAGTGTGGGGGACATCAAAGTGTGGGGGACATCATTGTGTGGGGGACATCAAAGTGTGGGGGACATCAATGTGTGGGGACATCAAAGTGTGGGGACATCAAAGTGTGGGGACATCAAAGTGTGGGGACATCATTGTGTGGGGGACATCAAAGTGTGGGGGACATCAATGTGTGGGGACATCAAAGTGTGAGGATATTAAAGTGTGGGGGACATCAATGTGTGGGGACATCAATGTGTGGGGACATCAAAGTGTGGGGGACATCAATGTGTGGGGGACATCAATGTGTGGGGACATCAATGTGTGGGGACATCAAAGTGTGGGGGACATCAATGTGTGGGGGACATCAAAATGTGGGGGACATCAAAGTGTGGGGGACATCAAAGTGTGGGGGACATCAAAGTGTGGGGGACATCATTGTGTAGGGACATCAAAGTGTGGGAAAATCAAAGTGTGGGGACATCAAAGTGTGGGAAAATCAAAGTGTGGGGACATCAAAGTGTGGGGGACATCATTGTGTGGGGACATCAAAGTGTGGGAAAATCAAAGTGTGGGGGACATCAAAGTGTGGGGGACATCAATGTGTGAGGGACATCAAAGTGTGGGAAAATCAAAGTGTGGGGGACATCAAAGTGTGGGAAAATCAAAGTGTGGGGACATCAAAGTGTGGGAAAATCAAAGTGTGGGGACATCAAAGTGTGGGAAAATCAAAGTGTGGGGACATCAAAGTGTGGGAAAATCAAAGTGTGGGGGACATCAAAGTGTGGGGGACATCAAAGTGTGAGGGACATCAAAGTGTGGGGGACATCATTGTGTAGGGACATCAAAGTGTGGGAAAATCAAAGTGTGGGGGACATCAAAGTGTGGGGGACATCAAAGTGTGGGGGACATCAAAGTGTGGGGGACATCAAAGTGTGGGGGACATCATTGTGTAGGGACAACAATGTGTGGGGGACATCAAAGTGTTGGGGACATCATTGTGTAGGGACAAAAATGTGTGGGGGACATCAAAGTGTAGGGGACATCATTGTGTAGGGACATCAAAGTGTGGGGGACATCAAAGTGTGGGGGACATTAAAGTGTGGGGACATCAAAGTGTGGGGGACATCAAAGTGTTGGGGACATCAAAGTGTGGGGGACATCAAAGTGTGGGGGACATCAAAGTGTGGGGGACATCAAAGTGTGGGGGACATCAAAGTGTGGGGACATCAACGTGTGGAGACATATAAGTGTTGGGACAACAATGTGAGGGAACTATAAAGTGTGTGGGAACATCAATGTGAGGGGACATCAGTGAATAACATCAACAGATATAACGTCAGGACACTGACTAAGCTTCGTGTCACATACAAGTTAGTCTTTAATGTTTTAAATCAACTTGTGTAGCCCTACACCTGGATTAGGGAACAGCCAAGGGAGACAATAAAACATTTTAGTAGCTGGCACAGTGAGATTTGTCTACCTTAACGTGGATCAGGGGAGGTAAACTACGAATACAATCAGATGATAAATTTAATTATCTCAACCATATAAGTGAATGTGGCAAAACATGCTACACATCGTGCAATAAATCAGTAATTTACATGCAAATTATCCAGTAGGTAATTCATGCATAAAAAACGACATGGAAAATGTGCAAATCACATACAATATAGACGGGTTGGAGAAATGTAAAATTATATGCAACTACAAATAAGTCAAGCGTGAAAAATGCGTGCAATAAAAGATTGACCAGTGGCAAGTGCATACAAAAGAGCCATACTGATTAATAATAATGCAGGCAAGGTGTATGTAGGGTATAGGTAAGGTGTATGGAGGGTATAGGTAAGGTGTATAAAGGGTATAGGTAAGGTGTATGGAGGGTATAGGTAAGGTGTATAAAGGGTATAGGTAAGGTGTATGGAGGGTACAGGTAAGGTGTAAAGAGGGTATAGGTAAGGTGCAACCGTTAAACCATGATTGTGTTTGTCTTACTCGAGTCAAAGTGCACGGAACTCTTCCGTTTCTTTTGGTTTTTGATTGGGATCTCTATTGGCTCATCGAACTCGGGCATGTAGATCTGTAGATGGACACACTTCTATTAGACCACTGTGTCACCACTAGACTGGGCAGTATCACCACTAGACCACCGTGTCACCACTAGACTGGGCAGTATCACCACTAGGCTGTACCGTATCACCATTAGACTGTACCGTGTCACCACTAGACTGTACCGTGTCACCACTAGACTGGGCAGTATCACCACTAGACTGTACAGTATCACCACTAGACTGTACCGTGTCGCCACTAGACTGTACCGTGTCACCACTAGACTGGGCAGTATCACCACTAGACTGTACAGTATCACCACTAGACTGTACCGTATCACCACTAGACTGCACACTATCACTACTAGACTGCACACTATCATCACTAGACTGCACACTATCACCACTAGACTGCACACTATCACCACTAGACTGCACACTATCACCACTAGACTGCACACTATCACCACTAGACTGCACACTATCACCACTAGACTGCACACTATCACCACTAGACTGTACCGTATCACCACTAGACTGTACCGTATCGCCACTAGACTGTATCGTATCACCACTAGACTGTACCGTATCACCACTAGACTGTACCGTATCACCACTAGACTGTACCGTATCACCACTAGACTGCATAGTATCACCACTAGACTGTACCGTATCACCACTAGACTGCATAGTATCACCACTAGACTGTGTCACCTCTCAGCTCCAAATAAATGGGGAGAGGGCACCAGAAAACTGGGGGCGCCAGACAACTTTTCTAACACTACAACTTCCGGTCATTTCAAACATTTGAAACCAGTCCCCTCCCTCCATTTTTCCTCCCACCATCCCCCTCTCTTCCCCTTCCTCTCTATGTACATCATCTAACTAGTGGCGTTCACACACAAAGCAAAGGAAAATATTTGAAAGTCAAAGCTACAGCTTAAAGAAATCTAAATGCCGAGAAATAAAAACAAAGCTATTTAAAGGCTTACAAAAAGTAGACCACCAAACTTAAGGAGGAGAGTTCTATTTATAGCTAATTTTTTTTTCTATAAGAAAAGAGTAAAGGGAAAGAACTCAAAAACCTACCACCATACTGTTGGAGCGACTTCCCTTCCTTAACGGCAGGCTCCGTAACGAGGCGGTGCTCTGATATTTCTGTCGCCTAGGCAACGCTGACGCGCCGCCGTGGTTCGGGTGGTGCTGCTCGTCTTCCTCGGCCACAGTACTGCAGCCGGCAAGTGCCCCAGCGAGGGTAGAAAACTCGGTGCCGTTTCTAGGGGAGGTAGCTTGTGCTGGAATAAAACAAAAATACAATTTCATGAGTTGTTTACCTTTGACCATAAAATATAAAACACCGTGAAAGAAAACGGGTTGGCTACCCGCCTACCTGTTAAAAACCCGTCATTAATGTAATAAATGTTGCTGTTGTTTTCGTTAATATCAGGCTCGGGTATCTCCACGCTGGCCGTTCGCCTCGGGACGGTGTAGCTTCGCTTGACTCGAGTTTTCTTGCTCCTGGATAAGGTGAAACAACGGCTAGTTAGAGCTTTAGGCAACAAGTGAACTAACCAAAACAAAGATATATAGGCTGATAAAATTGTAGGGATGTTAAACGGGGGTAGAAGAGGGTTAGAAAGTGTAACTTTAGTGTAAACATAACCCTAATACAGAAAACTGACATGTTGCACGTGCCGACAGTGGTGTGGCCAGCTATGACGTGACCTACTGTGGTGTGACTTATTGGTGTGGACTAGTGGTGTGACTTTCTGTGGTGTGACCCGTTTTTGTGTGACCTACTTTGACCTACTGTTGTGTGACCTACTGTTGTGTGACCTATTGTGCCGTGACCTACTGTGACGTGACCTAACGTGGTGTGACCTATTGCTATGACCTAGTTATGTGACCTAGTTGTATGACCTAGTTGTGTGAACCGTTTTGTGTGACCTGCTTTGACCTTCTGTCGTTTGACCTGTTTTTATGTGACCTACTTTGACCTACTGTGGTGTTACATAGTGGTGTGACCTCGTTTTTTGACCTAGTTATTTGACCTACTTGTATTTCTTGGACTTCCGCCTGGCCTCGATCTGCTCATCGAGCTCTATGGCGGCATCAATGGCGGCCTCCTCTGCCTGCTGGATCTCTGAGTTGAGCTCAGTGCTGTCCCCTTCGTTCAAGGCTTCTTTAAACACCCTGTGGGAGGGACGGGAAGGTGGTGAATAGGGGAGGTAGGGGTATGGGGAATAGGGGAGGTAGAAAGATGGGGAAAGATGGCGAATCAGATGGAAAAAGTAGAAGAAGAAAGTAAATAAGAGAGGTTGAGAAAGATAAATTCAAGGGCTAAATAAACTATGTTCGAGAAAACTGAGAACGTCCTTGTCAATGTTTAGTGCTAGTTTTGTCGAAGTCAGTATTTGAGATGTTCAATACTGTCGCTGGTTCAAACACTACGTCACCAGTCTCTGCAACACAAAGGTCAAAGGTTGACCTACTTCCCGTAGATGTCGTCCTCCTGGATGGCGTCCTTGCCCAGGGTGGAGATGAGCATGAGGGACGTGCAGGTGGACATGGCACTCAGCGTCACGCTCCGTCGCCCCTTGCCGTCTGGGGAGAGAGGGTTCACGTGGGGGTAGAGAGGGTTCACGTGGGGAGAGAGGGTTCACGTGGGGTAGATTACTACCTAGATCATCACCACCATAATGGCTACCCGCTACCTGCACTTTTAACCTAAACACCTCAATGACTACTGGCCGCCTGTTACGTAAAAATTATAATGACTACTGCCTACATTTGAACTACACACTACAATGGCTACCCGCTACCCATGACCTCACCACTACAATGGCTACATGCACTCTGAGGCTACTCACACAAGCACGCTGTGATATCCTTCTCCTCCACGTCATGTGACCTGCACAAAGCAACCAATAGCTGGACATCTTTCTGTAACAACAAACACAGACTGACAACTTTGTTAAACTGAACATCATTGGCTACATTCGTAGTACAACATTTTGAATGATGTACTATAACTGTAAAGATAAAGAAAATTAAATTGTCCCTAACGACGGGGCCTTATAACTTGAATGTCTGTGATCATTCATTTCTAGCACAATATGTGACAGTAAACTGCAGGTGTGACAATTTACATGTGGCGCGGGTTTTTTTTATTACTCAAGACTTTTTGGACACATTAAAGTATTAAAGCTAAGCTAATCTAGTAAAGCTGTGTCAGACACCAAATGACCACAAAACTTGACCCAGACACCAAATGACCACAAAACAACTTGACACCTAATGACCACAAAACTTGACCCAGACACCAAATGACCACAAAACTTGACCCAGACACCAAATGACCACAAAACTTGACACCAAATGACCACAAAACGTGACACCAAATGACCACAAAACTTGACACCAAATGACCACAAAACTTGACCCAGACACCAAATGACCACAAAACTTGACACCAAATGACCACAAAACTTGACCCAGACACCAAATGACCACAAAACTTGACACCAAATGACCACAAAACTTGACCCAGACACCAAATGACCACAAAACAACTTGACACCTAATGACCACAAAACTTGACCCAGACACCAAATGACCACAAAACTTGACCCAGACACCAAATGACCACAAAACTTGACACCAAATGACCACAAAACGTGACACCAAATGACCACAAAACTTGACACCAAATGACCACAAAATTTGACCCAGACACCAAATGACCACAAAACAACTTGACACCAAACGACCACAAAACTTGACCCCGACACCAAACGACCACAAAACTTAATACCAAATGACCACAAAACTTGACACCAAATGACCACAAAACAACTTGACACCAAATGACCACAAAACTTGATCCAGACACCAAATGACCACAAAACTTGACCCAGACACCAAATGACCACAAAACTTGACCCAGATATTAAATAACGACAAAACTTGACACCAAATGACCACAAAACTTGACCCAGACACCAAATGACCACAAAACAACTTGACACCTAATGACCACAAAACTTGACACCAAATGAGCACAAAATTTGACCCAGACACCAAATGACCACAAAACAACTTGACACAAAATGACCACAAAACTTGACCCAGACACCAAATGACCACAAAACTTGACACCAAATGACCGCAAAATTTGACCCAGACACCAAATGACCACAAAACAACTTGACACCAAATGACCACAAAACAACTTGACACAAAATGACCACAAAACTTGACCCAGACACCAAATGACCACAAAACTTGACACCAAATGACCGCAAAATTTGACCCAGACACCAAATGACCACAAAACAACTTGACACCAAATGACCACAAAACTTGATCCAGACACCAAATGACCACAAAACTTGACCCAGACACCAAATGACCACAAAACTTGACCCAGATATTAAATAACGACAAAACTTGACATCAAATGACCACAAAACTTGACCCAGACACCAAATGACCACAAAACGTGACACCAAATGACCACAAAACTTGACACCAAATGACCACAAAACTTGACCCAGACACCAAATGACCACAAAACTTGACACCAAATGACCGCAAAATTTGACCCAGACACCAAATGACCACAAAACAACTTGACACCAAATGACCACAAAACTTGATCCAGACACCAAATGACCACAAAACTTGACCCAGACACCAAATGACCACAAAACTTGACCCAGATATTAAATAACGACAAAACTTGACACCAAATGACCACAAAACTTGACCCAGACACCAAATGACCACAAAACGTGACACCAAATGACCACAAAACTTGACACCAAATGACCACAAAACTTGACCCAGACACCAAATGACCACAAAACATGACACCAAATGACCACAAAACTTGACACCAAATGACCACAAAACTTGATCCAGACAACAAATGACCACAAAACTTGACACCAAATGACCACAAAACTTGACACCAAATGACCACAAAACTTGACACCAAATGACCACAAAACTTGACACCAAATGACCACAAAACTTGACCCAGACACCAAATGACCACAAAACTTGACCCAGACACCAAATGACCACAAAACTTGACACCAAATGACAACAAAACTTGACACCAAATGACCACAAAACTTGACCCAGACACCAAATGACCACAAAACTTGACACCAAATGACCACAAAACTTGACCCAGACACCAAATGACCACAAAACTTGACACCAAATGACCACAAAACTTGACCCAGACACCAAATGACCACAAAACTTGACACCAAATGACCACAAAACTTGACACCAAATGACCTGTCACGCCCGACTGACCCTGATCTCAGACAACAACGTCTGCAGCTTGGCTGCCTTAAGCTCCGCCTTCTTCCTGGCTCTCTTCATGTTCATCATCTGGATGTGGTGCTTGTGCTTCATCGTCATCAGGAAACCTGGGCACATGGGAGGTAAGTCTTAGATACAGGGGAGGTAAGTCTCAGACACAGGGGAGGTAAGTCTCAGACACAGGGGAGGTAAGTCTCAGACACAGGGGAGGTAAGTCTTACACAGGGGAGGTAAGTCTCAGACACAGGGGAGGTAAGTCTCAGACACAGGGGAGGTAAGTCTTATACACAGGGGAGGTAAGTCTCAGACACAGGGGAGGTAAGTCTCAGACACAGGGGAGGTAAGTCTCAGACACAGGGGAGGTAAGTCTTATACACAGGGGAGGTAAGTCTTATACACAGGGGATGTAAGTCTCAGACACAGGGGAGGTAAGTCTGAGACACAGGGGAGGTAAGTCTCAGACACAGGGGAGGTAAGTCTTATACACAGGGGAGGTAAGTCTCAGACACATGGGAGATAAGTCTTATACACAGGGGAGGTAAGTCTTATACACAGGGGAGGTAAGTCTCAGACACAGGGGAGGTAAGTCTTAGACACAGGGGCGGTAAGTCTCAGACACAGGGGAGATAAGTCTTATACACAGGGGAGGTAAGTCTCAGACACAGGGGAGGTAAGTCTCAGACACAGGGGAGATAAGTCTTAGACACAGGGGAGATAAGTCTTAGACACAGGGGAGATAAGTCTTAGACACAGGGGAGGTAAGTCTTAGATACAGGGGAGGTAAGTCTTAGACACAGGGGAGATAAGTCTTATACACAGGAGAGGTAAAAATACAGTCTAAAATACAGAGTAGACAAGTCTTAAATACAGGGGAGACAAATCTTAAACACAGAGGAGATAAGTCTTATACACGGAGGAGATACATAGGGGAGACAAGTCTAAATAAAACGAAGACACGTTTTATATTGTTTACGCACAAGTGAGACAAATTTTTACAAGCCTGGAAAATGGGCGAGAGAATCGATAACAAGGGTTTATTTGACTTGAGTGAAAATGTTCGAACAGTTTTTATTTTAGTCTGAGTTGAATTTAGGACGGAGTTATTTTACTCTGGGGCAAGACTGTTATTTTAAGTTAAGATGAAAACTTGGTGTGGATTTCATCAAGGGAGATAATGTTTTCCAATGACGTTACGATGGTTAAATCCCTTGCCTCATGTTTAAAATGAGTGAAAGTTTCAATTATTTACAAACAGGAGAAAACACGGGGGTTAAATCTTGTATGGACAAACACACAAGTCGATATTTTTTTTATTCTAAATGAGACTTTCAACCATTTCTGATGAGATTCTAGGTCGGTCGACAAACACATAAGTCGAAATGTTGTTATTCTAGATGAGACTTTCAACCCTGTCTGATTGGCTGGTGTAGACAGACACTAGATTAGACAACAAATACTTATAACTATCACAGCTACCATTAACAACTCCCGCAACCAACAATCCCAGATTCTTATAACAACCCACCCCACACTAACAACCCCAGCTTCCACTAACAACCCCAACTCCCACTAACAACCCCAACTCCCACACATAACCCCTGCTCCCACACACAACCCCAACTCTCACATACAACTCCAGCTCCCACTAACAACCCACTAACAACCCCAGCTCCCACACACAACCCCAGCTCCCACACACAACCCCAATTCCCACTAGCAACCCCAGCTTCCACTAACAACCCCACTAACAACCCCAGCTCCACTTATAACCCCAGCTCCTAATAAAATTCCTAGCTCCCGATACTAAACCACCCTACTATCCCCTCCCCCCCCCTTTAGTGCGAGTGATCACGTAACTTACTGTTGACGATACGGACGACCCTCCAGGGCAGGAGCAGTACCAGAATGGTCGTGGCGTCCTTGCCGGTCTCGTACCATCGGCTGTCCAGAAACACAAAGTCCAGGGCGAAGGAGGACACCACGATAAAGGCATCAAACACCTGGAAACACCACGATAAAGGCATCAAACACCTGGAAACACCACGATAAAGGCATCAAACACCTGGAAACACCACGATAAAGGCATCAAACACCTGGAAACACCACGATAAAGGCATCAAACACCTGGAAACACCACGATAAAGGCATCAAACACCTGGGAATGGAGGTTGTGTTGGTGTTTAGCTCATGGGTTGCTACACGTAGTATATTGGTTGCTACACGTAGTATTATTAGTTTACCTGTAGTAACCTGTAGCCTATTAGTTTACGTGTAGCTAACTGTAGCCTGCTAGCAGACATATAGCTATCTGTATTCTATTAGTTTACCTGTAGCTATCGCAGCCTTTCAGTTTACCTGAGCTACCTGTAGCATCGTAGATTACATGTAGCTACATGTAGCCACTTAGTTGACATGTAGCTACCTGTAGCCTTTGTGTGACATACGCAGATTATTGTTTCATTAATTAATGTTAAGGTGCTCAAGTTTTGCATTTTGTTGAAGATTGACGTCATCAGTTTTGTTTCTCACACATTTTGCGCCCATCACAAAATTTTAAATTTCAAAATAGATTTTTATGTTCGGTCAATGTGTTCATGGTTAGATGCAGTTATTTTATTTTAATGTAGAGGTTTGTATTCATTAAACATTTCAAAATGATAAGTTTTAATATTAGACGAATTTCTAAAATACGAAGGTAATCTCCAGTTTTACGTTTAATCCTAACCTAATACCGTGGAACTAACAAGCTTATCTACAATAGTTTGGGTGTTATTTTAAACAGGAAACACATTTGGTTTTACGGAAAAATGTTACTTGGTACAGGAAACTATTTTTTTTACCATGGGAAGCGTGTTTTATATAGGAAAACAATTTGTATACAGGATAACGGTTGTTGTTGTTTTGTTTTTTGTTTTTGTTTTTTTTACAGGAAAACATGTTTTGTACACACAAAAAAAAACAATTTTTGTACAGGAATTTTTTGTGTGTGCAGGAAACATGTTTTATACAAGAAAACATGTTTTATAAGAAATCAAATTTCATACAGAGAAAATGTTATTCACAGGGAATCTAGAGCTAGCACTGAACGAGTCAGAGACAGTTGAAGCATTTTGACAAGGGCAACAAGTTCCAGAACTGTGACAACTGTCAAAATTTTTGACAGCTGACAGCCAAGTGACATCTGGACAGTGCTCGTGCCTCACCGAATTGACCAGAAGAAAATGTTGAGAAACCTGACATCGGACACCCAGGACCCCAGCGGTGGCGAGATGACCTTTATGGTGGGTCCTGCTGTCCTGACCAAACGTAGAGCCGTCAGACTGCCGAGGAAGCCGGAGTGCCAGAATGAGGAAGTGACGTTTGTCATCAAACGGGGACCCAACGACAGACGCAACAAGGTCACCACTCGCCCTCCGCCCCCCACCAAGTCACGTGACTCCGCCTCACGTGCTAAATCTGGGGTCAAGGACGACAACAGCAACAACAGCAACAGCACCGACCGGCGTGACGTAAGCAACAGCACCGACCGGCGTGACGTAAGCAACAGCACCGACCGGCGTGACGTAGGTAACAGTTCCCAGAACAACAGGGACGTAGGCAACAGTTCTCACAACAACAGGGACGTAGGCAACAGTTCCCACAACAACAGGGACGTAGGCAACAGTTCCCACAACAACAGGGACGTAGGCAACAGTTCCCAGAACAACAGGGACGTAGGCAACAGTTCCCAGAACAACAGGGACGTAGGCAACAGTTCCCAGAACAACAGGGACGTAGGCAACAGTTCCCACAACAACAGGGACGTAGGCAACAGTTCCCACAACAACAGGGACGTAGGCAACAGTTCCCAGAACAACAGGGACGTAGGCAACAGTTCCCACAACAACAGGGACGTAGGCAACAGTTCCCACAACAACAGGGACGTAGGCAACAGTTCCCACAACAACAGGGACGTAGGCAACAGTTCCCACAACAACAGGGACGAGGCCGACACGCCAGAAGAGCAACGGGGTAGCTATCCCGACCGGCTGCCGGGCGCCCGGAAATACTCTGCCAACACAACTTACACCTCCGGGTACCGGAAATCAAGCGGCGTCACATCCAGAGATAGCGCCCTCTACCGGAATATGACCCCGGCTGATTTAGACAGGAAGACTAGTGCCACTTACACCGGAGAGAGTTTGTCCAAACGTTTTTCAACAAGCCAGGATTTAGACCGCAAGACCAGTGTTGGCTTTTCTGGAGAGGCAGTTTCCAAACGGATGTCGACATCGAACGATTTAGACCGGAAAAAAAGTTCCGGCCTTTTCGGAGATAATTTTTACAAGCGGATGTCAACCTCACACGATGACAGGAAAACCAGCGTCGGCTTCTCCGGGGAGGGGATGTATAACAGAATGTCCGGCACGGATTTGGACCGTAGAGCGAGTCTAGCCGCGTCACGCACGGGTAACCTCAAGCGGATATCGACCTTTGAGGAGCTGAGGTCCATCAAGGACTCTCCCAGTACCATCAGCACCAGCAGCGCGGAGGTCAATCAAAGCACAGCGTCCAGCAGCGCTCGGGCCAGCAAAGGTGGGTTGGTGAGGTACATTATGGGTGGGGTTGGTGTGGTACATTATGGGTGGGTTGGTGTGGTACATGGTGGGTTGGGTTGGTGTGGTACATTATGGTAAAGGTGGGTTGGTGAGGTACATTATGGGTGGGGTTGGTGTGGTACATTATGGTAAAGGTGGGTTGGTGTGGTACATTATGGTAAAGGTGGGTTGGTGTGGTACATTATGGGTGGGTTGGTGTGGTACATTATGGGTGGGTTGGTGTGGTACATTATGGTAAAGGTGGGTTGGTGTGGTACATTATGGTAAAGGTGGGTTGGTGTGGTACATTATGGGTGGGTTGGTGTGGTACATTATGGGTGGGTTGGTGTGGTACATTATGGTAAAGGTGGGTTGGTGTGGTACATTATGGTAAAGGTGGGTTGGTGTGGTACATTATGGGTGGGTTGGTGTGGTACATTATGGTTGGGGTTGGTGTCGTACATTATGGTAAAGGTGGGTTGGTGTGGTACATTATGGGTGGGTTGGTGTGGTACATGGTGGGTTGGGTTGGTGTGGTACATTATGGTAAAGGTGGGTTGGTGTGGTACATTATGGTAAAGGTGGGTTGGTGTGGTACATTATGGTAAAGGTGGGTTGGTGTGGTACATTATGGTAAAGGTGGGTTGGTGTGGTACATTATGGGTGGGTTGGTGTGGTACATTATGGTAAAGGTGGGTTGGTGTGGTACATTATGGTAAAGGTGGGTTGGTGTGGTACATTATGGTAAAGGTGGGTTGGTGTGGTACATTATGGGTGGGTTGGTGTGGTACATTATGGTAAAGGTGGGTTGGTGTGGTACATCGTGGTAAAGGTGGGTTGGTGTGGTACATTATGGGTGGGGTTGGTGTGGTACATTATGGTAAAGGTGGGTTGGTGTGGTACATTATGGGTGGGTTGGTGTGGTACATTATGGTAAAGGTGGGTTGGTGTGGTACATCGTGGTAAAGGTGGGTTGGTGTGGTACATTATGGGTGGGGTTGGTGTGGTACATTATGGTAAAGGTGGGTTGGTGTGGTACATTATGGTAAAGGTGGGTTGGTGTGGTACATTATGGTAAAGGTGGGTTGGTGTGGTACATTATGGGTGGGTTGGTGTGGTACATTATGGTAAAGGTGGGTTGGTGTGGTACATCGTGGTAAAGGTGGGTTGGTGTGGTACATTATGGGTGGGGTTGGTGTGGTACATTATGGTAAAGGTGGGTTGGTGTGGTACATTATGGGTGGGTTGGTGTGGTACATTATGGTAAAGGTGGGTTGGTGTGGTACATCGTGGTAAAGGTGGGTTGGTGTGGTACATTATGGGTGGGGTTGGTGTGGTACATTATGGTACAGGTGGGTTGGTGTGGTACATTATGGTAAAGGTGGGTTGGTGTGGTACATTATGGTAAAGGTGGGTTGGTGTGGTACATTATGGTAAAGGTGGGTTGGTGTGGTACATTATGGGTGGGTTGGTGTGGTACATTATGGTAAAGGTGGGTTGGTGTGGTACATTATGGTACAGGTGGGTTGGTGTGGTACATTATGGGTGGGGTTGGTGTGGTACATTATGGTACAGGTGGGGTTGGTGTGGTACATTATGGTACAGGTGGGTTGGTGTGGTACATTATGGTAAAGGTGGGTTGGTGTGGTACATTATGGGTATGGTTGGTGTGGTACATTATGGGTGGGGTTGGTGTGGTACATTATGGTAAAGGTGGGTTGGTGTGGTACATTATGGTACAGGTGGGTTGGTGTGGTACATTATGGTAAAGGTGGGTTGGTGTGGTACATTATGGGTGGGTTGGTGTGGTACATTATGGGTGGGTTGGTGTGGTACATTATGGGTGGGGTTGGTGTGGTACATTATGGTAAAGGTGGGTTGGTGTGGTACATTATGGTAAAGGTGGGTTGGTGTGGTACATTATGGTAAAGGTGGGTTGGTGTAGTACATTATGGGTGGGTTGGTGTGGTACATTATGGTACAGGTGGGTTGGTGTGGTACATTATGGGTGGGGTTGGTGTGGTACATTATGGGTGGGGTTGGTGTGGTACATTATGGTAAAGGTGGGTTGGTGTGGTACATTATGGTAAAGGTGGGTTGGTGTGGTACATTATGGTAAAGGTGGGTTGGTGTGGTACATTATGGGTGGGTTGGTGTGGTACATTATGGTACAGGTGGGTTGGTGTGGTACATTATGGGTGGGTTGGTGTGGTACATGATGGGTGGGTTGGTGTGGTACATTATGGGTGGGTTGGTGTGGTACATTATGGTACAGGTGGGTTGGTGTGGTACATTATGGGTGGGTTGGTGTGGTACATGATGGGTGGGGTTGGTGTGGTACATTATGGTAAAGGTGGGTTGGTGTGGTACATTATGGGTGGGGTTGGTGTGGTACATTATGGTAAAGGTGGGTTGGTGTGGTA